ACAGGAGATTTTCTATTTACATCCAAGAAGTCCTTTGTTCCAAGAGGAGCAGAGATGGGCAGGCAAGGCCCATCCCCTTAAACCCCCCCAGCCTCACCCGGATGGCACGCTCAGCCCTCTGCCTCTCTGCTGACCGCCCGCCTGGCCTGCCCAGGTGTGTTCTCTCCACTCAGCCATGTGACCTCGCCCTCCCCCCCCCAGTCCGAGCGACTGGGCTCTCTCTCAGGTTCTGTCTGGAGAGGTGCCCGTCCATCCTTACAGATGTCCCTGCCCTAATAAACCTTGCTGTTTTACCTCCCACTACTCCCTGTCTCACGCCTGAATTCTTTTTTGTGAGAAGACAAGAACCCTGCCATTCACTGGTAACACCCTTGCCCACTCCCCATGGGGAAAGTCCCCTGGCCAGACAGTCCTCCTCCTCCTCGCCCAGGCGCAGGCATGGTGCCTGCTGGTCCATGGGTGGCGGATCCCAGCTCCCTGCCAGCCCACAGCCCTGTTTACCCAGTGGGCCACATCCTCCTGACCCCCTCGGGACTACAAAGCCACCGCAGCAGCCTTGGCCCGCTCCCCTGGGCTGTGCATGGTCTGTCCTCCCTCCCGAGCTCTAAGCAAACACCACGCACACACAGCCATTGTTCTCCCCGCCCTCACCAATGGGCAGTGCGGGAGGCCGTGAAAACAGTCCCTTCCTCCAGGCTGTCCCCCCCAATGTTTGTGCAGCAAACACCGGGCATGACAGCTCTGCCGCTGGGAAGGCACCTTGAGCCCACGAGGTCAGGGCGCTCTCTCCACACAGCCCTGCAGGGAGCCCCACAGCACCCTGGGAGCCACACAGGCCTGCATCTCTGACCCGGGGAGTTCCCAGGACACTGTGCTGGACGGCGGGTGAGCCTGCACGGAGGGGGAAACCTCAGCTGCCCGGTGCTCGGCCCCGGTGAGGAGTCAGACCAGCCGGCTCAGCCCCGGTGAGGGGTTAGACCAGCCAGCTCGGCCCCGGTGAGGAGTCAGACCAGCCGGCTCGGCCCCCGTGAGAGGTTAGACCGGCCACGATGCAGGAACCCCTTCCGATGTTTCCTGTAGAACCGCTGCCCCGCACCTGTCCACCCACCCGCCCACTGCCTCACCCACCCTACGGCGGTGCACACATGTGCACGCATTGCAGCTTTGCCTAGTGGACGTGTCCAGCTCGGAGCTAGACTAAGAACTGAGAACAAGAGACAGACGCCTGCGCCGTGACAATGCTCGTCCCACTGTCGCCAGCAGTTATCTGTCTGCCTGGGCCTTTCGGCCACGAGCTCTCCCTTCCTGCGTCCCTGCCAGTGAGCTGCGCACACAGGATTTGCCAACGCCCCTTTTTTTTAGCTCAGGGTTTGCATCGGATTCACGGGCACCAGACCTGGGAACCGGCTCCCGCTCACAACGGAAGGGCGGGGCCCGCAGTGACTTTCCCGCTGACCCTACAAACCTGGCTTCAGCTCTGTTCCTGCTCTGTTCCTCGGCTCAACAGTGTCTGAACAGAGTCCTGTTGTTGTGTGGGAACGACTGGAAGCCACCGTGACCCCCACAGGCACGCCCGGCTGCAGAGCGGAACGCCGGAGGGACCACGTGGCAGTACTCGGCCGGACGGAGAGACCACGTGGCAGTACTCGGCCCGGATGGCGCTCGGCCCGGGCGGTGTTAAATGAGCTCGCAGCGCGGTGGGAGCAGAGGAGCGAGAGCAGCAGGGGCGGACACTGTGTGCGGGGTACGGGGCGTGGAGAGGCCGTGAAACCGTCACAGGTCCTGCTCTCTCTCTGCCCTCCCCACCAGCGTGCTGCTGCCAGGACCACCACCACTGAGCTATGAGCGGGGTCAGGAGAAGGAGGCTGCTGGGGGCCACACGCTCTCTTGCTCCGGCCCCAGGCACTTGGGGGCCAAGGCCTGTGACCCAGGAACAGCCACGGAGCCTCCAGCCCTGCTCTGGGGCTGAGCATACGAGGGCTCCTGGATGCGTGGCTGCCCTGGGGCCGTGATGGGGTCACCGTGGGCTTGGGGAAAGGGAGCTGTCGGCACAGAGGTGCACCATCCGGTCCTTAGGACGTGTGGCCCTCACCCTTGCCCTGTTGGGTCCTTCCTTCGCAACGCGTAAACCAGCCTGCCGCCTGCCCACCCCTCTGCCCTCCGGGAGCACAGTATGAGAGTCCGCTGCCTCTCCCCAGCTGCCTGGCCCTCCCCCCTCTCTGCGCCTGGCCCTCCCCCTCTCTGCGCCTGGCCCTCCTCCCTCTCTGTGCCGGGCCCTCCCCGCCCCCCGTGCCTGGCCCTCCCCCCTCTCTGAGCCTGGCCCTCCCCCCTCTCTGCGCCTGGCCCTCCCCCCCTCGTGCCTGGCCCTCCCCCCTCTCTGTGCCTGGCCCTCCCCCTCCCTGCTCCTGGCCCTCCCCCCCCCGTGCCTGGCCCTCCCCCCTCTCTGTGCCTGGCCCTCCCCCCTCTCTGAGCCTGGCCCTCCCCCCTCTCTGCTCTTGGCCCTCCTCCCTCCCTGCTCCTGGCCCTCCCACCCTGCGCCTGGTATATCTGCACTTCCACGCTTTCCTTGCCGGCCACAGTGGAAGTGCTGGTCCCGGACAGCAGCTTGCACCCAGGACGAGGGCTCCCGGGCTGCGGTCCCAGGCTGAGCTGTGGGCCCTGGGGTCTGAGTCCACGTCCTGACCTGGGGCCTGAGCACCAGCCGGGGTTTGCAGCTCCTCAGGTCCTGTGAGGCCCCGAGCCAATCTGCAGACAGGAGAGCTGCGGAGGGCAGTGGGTAGAGGGCAGCCCGCTGAGGAGGGGCCCGGGGAGACCAGCCCTGCCCTCCTCGGCCTTGAACCTCCAGCCCCAGCACCAGGAGACTGTCTGGAGGCAGGACCCTGTCCAAGGTCCCAAGCTGGCCGATGCCAACCAGCCACAGAGACGGGAGAGGGTGTCCTGAGAGCCCAGGGCATCAGCACAGCCAGCCTCAGCCCCCAGGGGACGGGACCTCCTTGCTCGCCCAGGCCAAGGCAGGCACACCCCATCTCTCCTGCACCCAGAAAACCCCGCACTGCCCCCAAAGTGAAGCTCTCTCCCGAGAGTCTTCCTGAGCTTCTGTCTGCAGAGGACGATCGCTGAAGAACACTTCAAGGACATGGGAGTTCTAGAATGTTCCTAGGCTGGTGGTTAAGGGCAGGGTGTGCATGGTGGGGAGGGGGGTCAAGGGCTGTTTGTCACTGGCTGATCCTGAGCTGGCCAGATGGGCATCCGGACGTCATGGTTGGTGAGCAGAGCGTGGACTGACATGCAACTCCACCGACCAGCGTCTCCCCCAGGGCCCCGTGCACAAGTGGGACGGTCTATCCCCTCTCCCCCACCCCCAGCCCCGTGCACAAGTGGACAGTCCAGCTGCTCCATCCTCCCAGCCACGTGCACACGTGGACTGTCCAGCCACTCTTCCCCCAGCCACGTGCACAAGTGGGACGGTCCGAGTGAGGCTGCCCTTCCCTGACAGAAGCCTGGCCGGTTGGAGGTGCCGGGGGCTCTGGCACCGAATCGTAGCTCATACAGAGCCGGAGCCCGGCTTCCCCAGGGCTGGGCGGAGGGAGGGCTCCGTGTGCAGGGCACGCATGCCGGGTACCTGCACGGCTAGCCCCCGGGCACCGCAGCACCAACCCCATCACCCCCAGCTAACACCCCCTCCCCCATCATGCTTCTCACTGGGTCTGATCTCACGGATCCCTGGCCGCACCCCTCCATCTGGCCACTGATTTCCGCTCCAGGGGGTCGGGGCTGAGGGACCTTAGACCTGGTCAGTTTCCTGGAAGGCCCCTGAACCTCTGGGACCAGCAGGGCCTCCCCAGAGACAGCTCGGTCACTGCTAGGGGACACCCACAGTGGACATGATGTGGGGGAGGGGAAGAAAGGGGGTGTGGCCCGGGGTGGGGGAGCAGGGAGCTTGGTGGTTGCTAGGGCCGGCTGGCCAGCTTTTCCAGGGAGAGCCGGGGTGGCCGCTCCCCCAGGCCGTGGGCGCCCAGCCCGTGAACGCAGTCAGTGCGCCCTCAGCTTTGGCAGACAGACAGTGTGGGCTCGGGTACTCAGCAGAGCAGAGAGGGTGCCCCAGACCCCTCAGGGAGGGCGTCCCTGGAACCACGGAGGTTGTGAGACCCCTGGAGGTTTCCCATCGAGTGCACCTCCACGCGCCTCGTGTAACGTAACCTGGGTCATCACCGCCCGGGAGCTCACCATTCCCAAGTTTCTCCTCATGTCTTCCCCCGGCCTCTCGTGCCTCCCAGCTCCTGACCCTGGGGGCCCGAGGTTTACGGTTAATTTCCCAAGGCCCGGTCCCACCCCACTCAGCACCTGCCTGCTTCTCGGGCCGGACCAGAGCTCCTGGCCCACAGGCAGGAGCTGGTGCTGCCTGCCCAGAGGGTGCCCTTGCCTTGTCCTCCCGGGCGGCACCTGCCCGGCGGGGCTGCACCTGCAGGTGTCTGTCTGACACCGGGCCGGAGCTGGCAGCTTCAATGGGCTCCTTGTCCTCTGCCTCGCCCGCAGCGGTGATAAGGTGACATTTCGGTTCCCCTCCCTCCCCCAGGTCGGGGGGAGCTCACCCCACCCCTGTGATCCTTGTCACTATGTATTCAGATGCGCTGCCAGGATTCCATCTCCCGGGGTGGCTCCCATTTGGGGAAGGAAAGGGATAATATTTTTTAACCCCTGCGTACCTGGGCACCCACAGTGACTTCACAGGGGGACAAGGGTGCGGCTGGCACTCGTGGGCTGAAGAACGAGACTTGCCCAGAATGAGCCCGCCGTACCCAGTCCCTGAATGAGCCCGCCGTCCCCCGTCCCTGTGTGCCACCGCCGCCAGGTCAGCGGGCCGAGGCACTGCACAGCACTGAGCACGCTCCCCGCCCTCTCCTGTGGGTCTTGGCTGACACAGCTCCGGTTCCAGGGCAGGAAACCGGGGTGAGAACCTCGCCCTTCGCCGCCCAAGAGCGAAAGCCACAGAGTAACGTTCATCTCTTTTAATCTTTGAGGCCAATTGTGAGGACTGAGAATCAGAGCCGCCGATCTCCCCGGAGGCCCGGGGGAGACTCAGAAGGATGTCCCGGGTCTGCAGGTGCAGGCTGGGCTCCGTGACGGGCAGGCGACGGCCCGCGCAGGCAGGGTGCTGGAGCTCCTGGCGTGGGGCGGGCGTCTAGAACGGGCACTCCTCTGAAATGGAGGTGGGGGAGGGGAAAGGTGTGAGTGGCTGTGAACTTGTCCTTTCTCTCTTCATCACGGAGAGGTTTTCCCAACAGGCCTGAGTAGGAGCATTCTTCAGTGTCTGTGTGCGTGAGCTGCCACTCCTGCCATGGGCCCCGAGCGAGCTGGGAGTCCTGGCCGGCGTGGGCGGGAGGCACAAGAAGCCAGGAAAAGCAGGGGTCTGGCCAGGTGGCCTTTCTGCCCTGCCTACTGTGTTCCCTGGAGCCAAGCTCAGCCTGGCCGTGGCCGAGCCTCGTGGCCGAGCCGCATGACCGTGGGTCCACACCAGAGAGGGAAACACACAGCTGGCCGCTCTGAGTCTGCAGCCCCCACCCCGCCCCGCCGCCGCGGGGTCACGTGGCCGTACCTTCTGCAGGATTGTCGATGGCCATGGGGTAGAAGCACCAGGGGTAGCCGGGGATGGAGCGGTTAAAACAACAGCCTTTGCTCCTACACTCGGCCTCGGTGACGCCGGGGTAGCCGCAGTTCCTCCGTTCGCGGGGGGCCATGTCGCAGGTCTCTGCAGGGGTGCGGGCAGGAAGCAGAGGCAAGTGGTGGGGAGCTCCGCCCACCTTCCCGCTCCAGGGAAGTCGGAGCCAGGAGGCCCCGCCCGAGGCAGAGCTCTGAAACCCGGGCAGGCGCCTTCCTGGGTCACCGTTCATGTCCACGTTCATTTCAGCATGTGACCGAGCCCCCGAGCTGAGCCTCAGTTGTGTGTGCTAGCAGAGCCTGTACCCCAAAACCAGGCACCCCGTCTGGCGAGGGGGCCCCACACCGGAGGCAGAGACGCTGCTGTCCGGAGGTTCTCGGTCTAATGGCCGGGATGACCGAGAAGCCAGCACTGGAGCGTGGCCACCCTGAGTGCCGAGGGCAGCCGAGGGCAGGCGGGGGCCGCCGAGCTCCCAGGAGGGGCCGAGGGCTGCAGGCTGAGCTCCACAGGGAGGCCACCCTGGAGGAGCAGGTTGACCAGATGGCTGTACAGAGAGGCCAGGTGCAAGGCCCTTTGCAGGAGGGGTGGAGAGAGTTGGGGTGATCTGGGGAGAGTGGGTTGGGGGCTCCACTGGACACAGGGAGTCAAGGAAGTTGGCCCACAGGGCAATGTGGAGGAGCTGGGCCCAGGTCACAGGTGCCGACTTGCACTCTCGAGGCAGGAAGAGCCCCAGGGTCTGACCTTGGGGCCAGGGGCCAGAGATGGAGGAGGCTGACCACTTGGAATCTGGCAGTCGGGTAACAGAAGCATCTAGAATGCCTTCCTTCCTGTCTCTGTTCCTGTCTGTCTCAGGGGCGGAGGGAGAGGGGGTTAACAAGGCCATAGCACTCGGGCAGAGTCCACCCAGGGCTGGGCTGTCTCGCACTGGCCGAGTGGCCCCTTGGGCCAAGTGACCCGCCATGGGAGGGTGTGCGGTCAGGAGCCCCGCGGGAAGCGGGAAGCAGCTCCCCCTGGCGGCCAGTAGAGGGACTCGCTGGGCGAGGCGCTCCCCGTTGTGCTCCTGCCCTGGGGCCACGGACCCCCAGGCCCAGCCGCATCCACTGCAGGGTCCTCTTGCCCACCCACTGATGGCCCCAGCAGAGCTCAGGGGCCGTGATTTCCGTCCGTGGGCTGCGCTTGTAATCACGGCTCTCTGGATTTCCGTGCTAGCAAAACCTGCTGACCCTGCGTGACCCAGGAGGAAGCACAGAGCCCTGGCCACAGGTCAGGGTGGGGACAGGCAGGGGACAGAGTGGGAGCTGGAGCAGGAGCAAGGGGAGGGAAGAACC